GCTTTGGGCAAAGACAGTCACAGGTGAACCTTCAAAGCTTTGCCTAAGTGAAAATCGCGCTAAGTTTCTTTTTGGATTTTGGAGATGTATATTCCGCGGTAGCTCCTTTCTATCACCTTTTCGCGTATACTTTTCCCGGGAAATTTAGTAAGGTAATCCCTGATAATTAGAGCACTACATACTATCTCTCTTGTACAGTGTTACTACTGTCCTAGTTATCCAGTCCACCCGGTCATTGCATTTTCAGAAATACGTGTTTGCAACAACATGCCTTGTTCGCCCGAAGCTTTAAACATCTCTGGGTGGATATCAGTGTCGTTTCCACAAGCTGTTTGCAGCTTCTGCCAGTTTATATACTGAAAGATTAACATATGCATATTTTCTGCACTTGCTCTGGATTAAGTTATTCAAAGTACTCACTTCATCGTTGAAATGCATCCTCCCTCCCTTTGCGAGAAGGCATTCAGACCCGTCCTTTAAGACTCAGACTGCTCTTTTTTCTATCTCGGATGCCGCAGATGATCTGCCAGAGTATTTTGCTTGCCGTTTGAAAATTCTACTTCACTTCACCTGAACTTTTTCCATGAATTACCTTTAGAGTTAGCTACTGCTTTAGATGTTGCCTTACGCCCTTCTTCCTACTGCATTCGAGTTAAAATCTGCTACCAAAACACCACTTGAATGCAGCCGACAGCCGGTTGAGCCTCTGTTCTCCGCCGTAACGTTCGTTTGTGCCTACCTAGGGACAGTTCATTGCATTTTCAACCGCAGTATTCAGCAGCAGCCTCAAGTAAACTACTTTTAAAAAGATTCCTTTCGGTTTCCACTTCAGCTGTCATCACTGGGATCTGTCCAAGTTTTTTGCTAGTTTCGCCCTCATATCCGTGTATGATAATTTTTTCCATTTGTTTTTTGGTTCCGTCTTGCCCTGGTCTCCACATGATAGTCTGCCGTTTGTAGATGAAGATACCAACCATAACATGATGATCAATTGACATATTTGCATCTCTCTTATCACGAACATTCTTTGCAGAGCGTCGTTAGTCAGACAACACGATTGTCAAATCGATCATCCATTTCTGTAGACAAGTTTCCCTATACTAGGTACCCTGATGCACGAAGGTGTTCATAACAGTCAGTTCGTTGTTTGCACTAAATGGCAACAGTTTTATGAAGTTATTGCTTAACTTTCTAAGACCATTTTACCCAGTCATGTCTTTCCACCTTCCTATTGTCTGCTCTGTTATGTCCATCTGAATAATGGATTTCGTGTCCGACGCATCATTCAGAGCACCTTCTACTTCATTCAGGAAGGATGCATGCACTGTTTCGGAATTAGGCACATAAACATGTAGCAAGGCCCAAACTTGCGCCTGTTGCAACCTACGTCGAGGACTGTCACTTTCATTGACAGGCTTCCATTCAGTGATTCTGTTTGTCAAGTTGGATTCTGCTAGAACACCAATACCGACTTGAACGCAGGCTCATGAGTTGAAAAGCTTCCATCC